AAAATGCTATGCACGTCTAATACATATACATACAATAATTTTCTTGATAGAGAGGTCGTTCTTTTTGTGTTGGGGTTTTTCTCTAAGACTTGAAGATTAGGGTTTCTCTTCTCTAAGCCCTAGCATGGCAGCCTCCTGGCTGTCAGCCTCTTCTTCTGGAGGCACTCTACACAAATCCTTCGCAGAGGTTTTGAAGGAGGGAGCAGGGACGGAAGATGGCACGGCTGCTGTGGGCAGACTTGGGTCCTATAGGGGAGAGCCGGCTTTGGTTCTCTCACGGCAAGATCTGGACAACATTGCTACTCCTTACCACAATGTCCTGGTAGGTAGATTTGTGTTCAACAGGCCGCCCATGGAGGTCATCTGTAGATTCTTCACGGCTCTTGGGCTGAAGGGAGAGTGCTCGGTAGGGCTCCTGAATCCTCTTCATGTGCTCATACGCCCTGCCCTGGAGGAGGATTACACCCGATTCTTTGTCAGGCGCACATGGTTCATACACAAGTCCCCTATGATTGTCGCCAAATGGTCCCTGGACTTTGACCCCAATCACGAATCCTCCATGGCCCCGATCTGGGTCACGCGACCAGGCTTGCCTCTGCCTTTCTTCGAGAAATCACTACTGCGCAAGATTGGCTCCCTGTTAGGTAAGCCGCTCCAGGTGGATTCGGCTACAGCAGCACTCAAACGGCCCTCCCTGGCACGGATTCTGGTGGAGCTCGACGTATCCCAGAGCCCAACTCGCAGAGTGTGAATCGACGACGACACTCACGGATGGTGGCAGTGGGTGGGGTATGAGGGATGGCCAGAGTTCTGTTCCTTTTGCGCCAAGTTTGGACACATGGAGGATGCATGCTTCAAGAAGGACCCTTCTCTGAAACCTCTACGGGCTGTGGGCAGTCGCAAGAGGGCTGACAATCTAGTGTACAAGGCTAAAGAGGCAGATGCGGATGCCAAGAAGCTCGAGGGACCGCAGACGGTGGTGTCGAAAGAAGTGGTTTTAGAGGAGGGCGAGGCACTGGTAGTGGCTGCCTCTCCTATTAGGGTATCCACCGCACCCAGGTCGCTTCTCCGACCTGCTTCACGTGATGGGCTCGCCATTGAGGAGCTGAGGATGGCTTCCTCGGAAGGAAGGAGCCGTGCGCTGCGGCGCTCAGGTCGTTGGAGGTCCTACTGGATTCGGCTGCGCCCCCCTCTTCGGCTGAGCATTCTGGGCAACTGGCAGCACTGGACCTAGGCAGCAGCAAGGGGGATCAGGGTGGGATCGCGTCTTCTAGTGATGGACTGGGAGCTGGCGCGCTTGTCCTTGCTAATTCTTTTGCTGCCCTGGGTTGCTTGACAACAGCAGGAACTAACGTTATTTGCTCGGCTGGTAGAGGGCTTAGCTGCTCTGTGGGGGCTACCCCTGCCTCGTCTCCATGTAAGCGGGTTGCTTGTTTCCGCAGACAGCTTTCAACTTCAGACCTTCGCGACGTGGATGTCGACTTGGGGCAGCTCAGGGAATTCAAAGTTTTTCTGGACTCTTGTACTTTGCTTTCGGAGTTATTTGGAGACGCATACCCTCAGGGTGCAGTTCTGGACACTAAGGATGTGGAACTCCTCGCCAGTGTTGTGCGTTCCAAGAGGACGGGTAGACCGGCAAACTATAACAAGAGGCTGCAGTGTTTCTTCTCTCTAGCTAAGTCTTATCCAACTTTCCAATGATTAACTCCATGAATTTTCTGGTTTGGAATGTCCGTGGGGTGTCACGCCGTGACTCCCAGCGTTATTTAGCTAGATTTTGCTTCAAGTATCATGTTCGTATTTTAGTTCTTATTGAGCCTATTACTGATGCATCGCGTATTGACATGATTTGTTGGCTGCTGAATTTTTCCAAGCTCGATCTTTCTTAAAGGGTAGGATTTGGGTTTTCTGGTCAGACGATTTTTCTATTACTTTTCGAGAAGTTGGTGATCAGTTGGTCCATCTGTCAGTCACTTACCTCCATACACACTCTTTCCATTTCTCTACTGTCTATGCGAGGTGTACACGAGTGGCTAGGCGAGCTTTGTGGGTTGCCATGGAGCATGTCGGTAGCCTCGTCAATGGGCCTTGGATAGTGGCGGGTGATTTCAACACCATCACTATAGTGGAGGAGAGGTCAGGTGGCTCCCTTCCGAATGCCCGAAATATGGAGGAGTTCAATGAAGCTTTAGCCTTTTGTGGGCCCAGTTTTTACTTGGACGAATGAGGTGTTGTGGCAGCGGCTTGACAGAGCTCTGATAAATGCCGAATAGGGGGAACTTATTTGAGATTTCCAAAACCTTGCATTTGCCTCAAGGGCAATCAGATCATGCGCCGCTCTTACTTCAGTGCGGTTCGAGTCTTCCATGGGGTGCGTCCTTCAGATTTTTGAATGTCTGGAGAAGTCATCCTCAGTTTGTGCAAGTTGTTCAGGAGGCGTGGACGTCCACATCCAAGCATCGGGGATGGAGCGGTTCTTCCAGAAGTTGATGCACATCAAGGGCAAACTACGGCTCTGGAGTCGGAATTCGTTCGGGAACATCTTTCAGTCTGTCCAACAAGTGGAGCTGGACCTTCGCCTCTGGGAGTCCGAGTATGATTCCTCCAGGGACATTGCTTCAAGGATTAGGCTGAAAAAAACTAGAGCGCGGCACACTCGTGCCCTATCCATTGAGTGTGAATTCTGGCGCCAGAAGGCTTCTATCAAGTGGATTCAGGCTGGTGATGCCAACACCAAATTTTTCCATCTATATGTCAAACAACGACGCAGCAGTAATTACATTACACGGGTTAAGGATGATTCAGATATGTGGCTAGAGAGTGAGGACTAGATTCGACAGTCGGCAATCCAATTCTTCTCGAACCTCATTTCCTCTGATCGTTCCGCTCGAGAGACCTCCCATATCGATTTCCTGATCCCTAAAGTGCAGGCTACGGACAACGAAGCCCTGCGGAGGATCCCATCGAAAGAGGAAATCAAAGAGGTCGTCTTCTCCCTGCCGGTAGATAGTGCCCCCGGCCCTGATGGCTTTGGTGCCGGATTCTACCAGTCATATTGGCCTATTATCCAGGATGATCTATATCTAGCAGTCAAGGATTTCTTCCAGGGTGGACAACAACCGCAAGGCTTCTCCAGTACAGCTATTGTCTTTATCCCAAAAGTGGTAGGTGCCTCGAGATGGAGGGAATTCTGGCCGATTAGCTTATATAATGTAAGCTCTAAAATTATATCAAAAATCCTGGCTTTCCATATTAACTGCCTCCTCCCTAAGCTTATTTTGCCTTGGCAAGCTGGCTTTGTCCCGGGTCGTAGTATATCTGATAATATCTTGCTTGTTCAAGAGCTAGCATTAGATCTGGATAGGCGGCTGAATCACCCTAATCTGATCTTAAAGTTGAACATGGAGAAAGCTTATGATCGGGTTGAGTGGAGCTTTCTCTTATTCATGCTTCGTCAATATGGTCTCGAGGAATGGTGTATCGACCTCCTATTCCGTACACTGTTCAATTGCTAGTTTTCTGTCCTTGTTAACGGAGCTCCGTCAGGGTTCTTTAAGTCGTCCAGGGGTGTCCGTCAAGGCGACCCTCTCTTGCCGGCACTTTTCGTGCTCATGGCAGAGTTCTTTACTCGGGGTATCCATCACTTATTCTTGCAGAATGAAAGGAGATTCTATGCCTCTGCTGGTCCCAATATTCCATGCTTGGCCTTCGCGGACAATGTTCTGCTCTTTTCACGTTGCTCCGTTGATTGTGTGGGGAGTCTTTCTGATTTTTTCTCACAATACCAGCTTTTCTCTGGGCAGCGGATCAACGCCACCAAAAATACCTTCCTGCTGTCCAATAGGGCGTCCCAGGATCAGCGTGACTTGGTGGTGGCAACAGTGGATTTCCAGCAACAATCTTTCCCTTTCATCTACTTAGGCGCGCCTATCTCCCGGAGACGCTCGACGTGCTCTTTGTTCGATGGGGTTCTCGCTAAAATACGAGCGAGACTCAGCAGTTGGAGCTCGAAATGGCTATCATCAGGGGGGAGTTGATCCGTCTCAGGCATGTTCTTTCGTCCCTCCCCATGTACATACTGCAAGTTCTTCAGCCGCCAAAGGCGGTTTTAATCAAGTTGGGGAGAATTTGCAATAGCTTTTTATGGGAACATGGTGTGGATGGCCGGAGAGTACATTGGTCTTCCTGGGATAAGCTATGCTATCCGGTTGCTGAGGGGGGCCTCGGGTTCAGGTCATTCGAAAACATGTGCTCTGCATTCGCTTGTAAGCTTTGGTGGCGGCTTAAAGAGAATGACTCGGTCTGGGCCAACTTCATACATCAAAAATACGTTAGGGGAGTTCACCCTAGCAAAGCGGCATTCCACAGACCTCCCCTCTCCTGGAGGAGGTTGGTCGCAGTTCGAGAAATGGCAGAAAGACAGATTCGTTGGTGCTTAGGGAGAGGTTTCGTCGATTTCTAGCACGATAGATGGCTGGGAGAGCAGTCTGTGGCGGAGTTAGTTGGTGTTCAAGACCCCCCTCACATGCTTGCTGCAGAATTTGTTATCCATAATGAATGGAATGTTCCCAAGCTCCTCCAGTGGCTGCCTAGGCAGGTGGTTTGTCGGATTCCTAATACGCAGATCTTCCCGCAGCTAGAGGATAAGATGGTGTGGGTGCCTTCCCCCTCGGGGCTCTTTTCGGTCAATTCAGCATAGGACTCCCTCCGCCCTAAGAAGCACTTATCTATGGTATGTAGGGCATTGTGGGGCACCTTTCTACCTTTAAAGATCGCATTTTTCGTGTGGCGCACCTTGCATAATTTCCTACCATTGGATCTTACCCTTCATCGGAGGGGGGTAGTCCTTCCTTCTCGATGCCATTGCTGCCTCGGCGGTCTAGGAGTGGTCCAAAAGGCAATTCGGCATTCTAGACCTCATGCACTCCTCCCTCTCAGCAATGTTCATGTCTTGGTTGGGTTCGGTTAGGTAGAGATCGCTGAACCACCTCCGTACGACGATGCCAGCGATTGTCGTATGGTTTCTCCGGAAAGCGAGTAACCGTGCGCGGCATGACGGTGCACCCTTTCTGGCCCCTCAGGCCATTCATGACATCGACAGCTTCGTAGTGCAATTGGGTCGGGCCCTTCTGCCTGAGCATTGCATTCGAGATCTGGAGCACCCTTGGGCTCCGGTGGCAAATTCTCGGCCCAAGCGGCTTAAGGTTTGTGCGGTGGCCTGGTCGAAACCCCCGCTTCACAAATTGAAACTCAACATAGACGCTAGCATCTCTGGTGCAAGAGCCGTGGGTAGAGGGCTAGTTCACGATCACACGGGCCGTTTGGTGTTTGCCTTCTATAAGGAGTTTGGGGAGGTGGACACCCTCACTACGGAGGCCCTCTCCTTATGGCATGGGCTTTTGCATTGTAGGGATAGGAACCTTTCCGATCTTCTCGTCGAGGTCGATTCGGAGGCCTTGGTTCGTTTGTTGCAGTTTGGTGCCACAGCCAAATGGCCTTTGTGCAACACCTTGCGTAGCACTCGGGGCTTATTAGCAAATTTGTCATCCACGGTACGGCATGTTTTCCGAGAGGCGAATAGTTGCGCAGACAAGATAGCAGGGGGAAAGTTCCAAGGAGACTCTATCTTCTTCTCGGTCCGGCAGCTTCCGCCTGCTGTTCAGGTAGCCATGCATATGGACCGCTGGGAGGTCCCTTGTCTTCGTTTCTGGGTTGTAAAATAATCTTCCTTTTTTGTTCCGTGGCACAGGCCTTTCTTCTACGCCGGCTTTGTAATGTTCCTTCTCACTCTAATAAAGTAGGGGATTGGCATCCCCACTCGCTTTCGGGTTTTGCAAAAAAAATTACAACAATTTTCTTTTTATATTTATTCATTTCTTCCTAATTTTCCTTGCTCTTTTATATTTATTTGCTTATTTATTAACTTTCTTCAAAATTTCCAAAAAAATATTGATTCCCTAAATTTGTAATAATATGACTTTCTTCAAAATATAATTTCCGTTGCTCTTTTATATTTATTAACTTTCTCCGAAATGTATATATGAACAAAGTAATTTTCTAAAAAATATACGACTCGATAAAAATTTCAATGTGCATCTAATATATACAGAAGAATACAAATTCCATGTCTTTAGTCTGTATCTAATATATATAAATTATATATGTGTTTAGTGTGTATCTAATATATATAAATTAATAATACCGCTTTGTATTAATGTATAATATGTGTTATTTATATCAAAAAATTATAATTTTAATCTTATTTCTATGTTTATGATTTTCCTTCCTTTTCTATATTTATTCACTTATTTATTAATTTTCTCCATAGTGTATATAATAGCAAAAATGTTAATATCAAAAAAATTCCGAATCCCTAAAATCTTACATGTGAGATATTGTCCCTCTTTCTTTATATCTATTCGCTTATTTATTAACTTGCTTGTTCGTTAACTTTGTTGAAAATGTGTATATTCACAAAAATATTAGGTATTCAAAAATTACACACATCACTAAAAATGCTATGCACATCTAATACATATACATACAATAACTTTCTTTTTATATTTATTAATTTTCTCGAATATGTATATCTTAACAAAAATATTAAATATGAAAAAAATGCAAATTCATAAAAATCTTACATGCATCTATCTAATATATACAAATAAATAAAAATTCTATGTATATGTAATCAATATATATAAATTGACTATGCTGTTTCATATTTATACAAATCAATGAGAACCATATATAGTTAACATCTATCTAATATATATAAACTTCAAAATAAATCAATTGAATATTTATTTATTTAAAAATGAATTAATCGCTCAATAAATATAAATATATGATTTCTAAATTTATAATATCAAATTGTTAAAAATCCTTGATTTCTAAATATATAATATCAAATTGTTAAAAATCCTTAATTTGTATATATTATATTTATGAATTTATATTCTTCAGTATATTTCTTTTCTTTTACTCTTTCTTATGCTAAATTTTACCACCATCTAATCTTCATTTAATGTACCCATGTGTTTATTTACTATTTACATTACTTTATGGCCAATTGTCATTCATCTACTTGCATGGTCACTATTTATGTTCATTCTTTTCACATCAATTCTTTTCACCATCTAATCTACATTAAATAGACCCACATGTTTAGTTGGTACATACATTATCTTATCGCCATTTATTATGCTTGATTTTAATCCTTCTACTTCCATGTCCGTTGGATCTTTACTACCTCCAAGTACCTCCTTTTATTAGCTGTGTAATTATTTTACTTATTCCGTTGACTTCGGTTCTCAGCTTAGCTTTTTTTTTTTTTTGGTTTATTGAGGCTCACTTCACTGTTACTTTTTGTTATTGTATTGCGTCTTCTCTGCTCAATCTCCTGCCTGGTAAGTTACTCTGTATACTTCAGTTCCCATCTTAATAGTGTTTCTTTCCATTTTTTGGTCATTTTAGATTTACCTGTATTAGCTATGTATGTGAGGACGTGCAAATTTCTTATATTTTTTTTAAAATTCCCTTTTATTTGAAAAATATTACTTTATAATAGCCTTACTACTTAATCACCCCACAATAAGTGTAAATGAAGATAGAAGTAAGGGTTTTTCCTTTTCGTTTTCAAGTTAGAGCAAATTAGGGTTTTCACATCTTTTCGTAATGTAAGTAACCGGTGCGGAGTGTGGATCAAATCGGGTGATTAAGAGTGAGTTTTAGGTGCTTTTAAGTGTGTGGTTAGAAGTAATAATAATAAGTTAGTGAGTTCCAAGTTAAAACCCTAGTATACGCGATTTAAGGAAAATCGGCTCGAACCGATGGGTATTGTTTACTACTGATTGGACACACCACTTGACCAACACTTTTCTACCATAAAATATCCTTGATATTATTGCAAAATATCTCCCTCAATCTTAGCATGGAGTGGCCGAATGATTTGACCACAAAAACAAGGAAAAAGGAAAAAGAATTAAGAATGAATCTTGAAGCAACAAGTGGCTGTCTTCCATTGGATTGTTGACTAATTAATTTACACCATATTTATCACCAAAAACCAACCTATTTCCCCCAGAATTTCAGCATACCAGCCGAGAGCAAGAGAGGGAGAAGAGTGAAGAGAGTTTTCCAATTTCCAACCTTGAATCCAACATTTCGAGTGAAAACAAGAAAAAACTAAACCGATTAAACTCTAGTTTGGGAGTTTAGGAAGCTTGGAAGCTAAACTTTTCAAGGAGTAGTGGAGGATATCCTTTGTAAGCTTGTTATTGAGGTATATTGGCTATCCTTTATCTTTGGTTCTTTTATTTTTGCTTAAGTTGCTATACAACCCATGTGTTGATTAAATTGGTAGCTATTCAAGTAGTTGTGATGATTTTAGCTGCATTAGTAAGGTAGGGTTTTATATTGTTCTGCCCTATTTCTTATTGTGTGGATGGTATATGATGTATACAAGCTTGTATATGAGGTAGTAGTGGTGGTTTTGAGCTGGAAATGTGAATTATACCTTGAGTGTAACAAAATTCCAGAAGTGAAAATCCTTAGTGCCCTATTTTGCCCGGTTTTAGTTCATCATGATAGAGGTCGAATTAGACTTAGCACAAAACATGAAAGTTGTAGAGAATGATATTTTATAAATGCATACAAAATTTCAATCTAATCCAAATACTGTAGCTCATAAAAAGATAAAAATACCCTTGAGACTGCCCTAGGTAGAGTCCAACAGACAGTTTTGACATTGCCTCACTTTGGATGCATTTTTTCACCTTGATCCGTATCAACCCAGTTTTTGGCCTAAACATGAAACTTTTAGCCCTATGTTTCAGCTTTCCAACGCCCCTGAGAACGCCTTAATCAGACTTCGGTAGCTTGAGTTATGGCCATTTGATTGTAGTACAGTTAACTAGCCTGTTGGTAGGAATCCAGTTCTGTAAATTGGGAATATGACTTAGATACATTAGAAACTGGACTAAGTGGTTTTCATCAAAAGTGTAGCCCTCTATCTTAGCTTCGAAACGGTATAAATTGCACCTCAATCTAATAAGCGTAGCTTCGGTTGTGTCCGATACGCTAAGTGACGGCGAATCTACCTTTTGTTTCTTAACTTAAATTGCATTTCCGGCCATTTTTCTAGCTTGATTTGGTGATGATATGACTCTGAGCCTATTGAACGGCTACTATAATGAGCTTACATTGTGTATGACTTTGAGACTGATTGAGGAAAAGAATGAAGTCATAAGTGGATGGGAAATAGGTAAATACAAAAGGCGCCCAAATTTATGCTTGAGGACTAGGTAGAAACCCTTGCGACTTGAGTAAGGCTTGAGAGCGAATACCACTTGAACCATCTAGGATATTCGCGTCTTCTTTTATCGAGGTATATAAGTTAGAACTTGACCGAACTTGTACCCTTGGGAAATGAAATAACGACTACTAGAAAGACGTTTTCCTCGTCCTTTCAACTTAAATGGTATTTTCAAGTATAATTGCTACAAAATGTCCCAATTTGAAAAGCGAACAAGTGTTTCACGAATATTTTTCAAACTAATTTCAATTACTTGATTCTTATTGAACGAAACATGTAAGTTTCGAATCTTAGTTGTTTTTCAAAGTTCTTAAACAAAGTTTTATCGCAGATTTGGACTCTAAACCCGGAGTATAACCCAGACAGGATCACTGAGGCACCACATTTTGGTGAGTGCTTCCAAATATCTGATTGGACTTGACATTTGTGTTCTATATTTTGACCAATGTGATTACATGATGTATATATAAGTGAATTGATGGGATAAGGGTGTACTTTATCGCACTTGCCCTAATGTGATTTGTTCCCGTTCATCGATTTCAATTGAATGGCTATACATGTTTATGAATTGTATCTTGCCTGGAATTCCAGAAACCTTGTGGCTAGTTAGTCGAGTCGAGTCGGCAAGGGTCTGGTTGATTAGACAACGAACCCTGAGTAGTTAGTGATGTCAAGTGAAGTGTTATCTTCTCGACTAATTGGTATACTTGAGTATAACCATCAGTGATATTGTGGAGTGCGGGCCCGGTAAGGGGTTTGATCGGTGGACGGAGATTGGAGTTAAGTAGTGTTCTACTGGACTAGTCTCTTACTTGAAAGTTGAAGGAGTGTCAACTACCAATTGATCGAATTATGGTGGAGCCGATATATGAGTAACTGTATCCTTATATGTGAAATGCGAAAAAATTTCATGTTTGGTTATATGAAGTGTTGTTACTCATTTCTTAACTTGTTTTGCTCGCTATTTCACCATTATGATACTATTACTTTATTTGATGGACAATTTGATATTTGGAACTTCACTGAGCTTTAGCTCATTTCTTTAGTTTTGTTTTCCTTACAGGGGTACAAGTGAGGCGTGAGACGTGTACAGAATAGCCTAGACTAGTTGTTTGACTTTTGAGTTGTACTCACGCTATCATTCGCTTAGGATGCGTTGTACTTGAATTGTATACACTTTTAAGTATTTTGGATGTATAGAAACCTTGTATCTGGATTTGTGCATCGATGTATATTATAAGTTTGAATTGCGATGTTATTTCTTGTCTATGGATGTATGCGTAAGATACGAGTGAGTGAGTCCTGACGAGAGTTGGGAAGGCGGTCCACCGAACCCTTTGGTATGCCTTAGGGGGAGGTGGGGTCATCACAGATGGTATCAGAGTCTAGGTTTAAATTGATTTGGGT